AGCTTCCTCGTGGCCTGATCCTTTGTTAAAAAAAATACTTGGGACGAGTTTCAAACAAGACATTATTATCGGCAGAAAGACGAGACATAGATGCAAGGTTTTTGTCGGCTTGTGGAACATGAAGGACATCTTTTAGCACAAGATCACGTTTTAAAGTAGGGGAATTAATAGATGCTTGACCAATATGACAAATATCCACACCTCCACCGCTTGCGGTGTGAATCTGATCCATGCCGAAGTACTTCTCTCTCATAGCAAGTTTATCAAGTTCATTGGTGACGTGGTCAGTAGCTCTGGAGTCGGCATACCAGACAGTTCCATCTTCACCTTGCTCCCTGATTGCAGCTGCTACATGACGGGCAGCAGGAACATAATTCTCATCGTATTAGTTCCAACAATCCAGGACCTCATGACCTGGTTTTTTGCAAAGTTGGCACCGAACTCTTGTGGAAGAAGAAGATCCAGCAGGTGCGTTGTTGTTGATGTAGGCGCCCTCACCAGAACGGGAACCTCGGTACTGACCGTTGCTGCCCTGGTTTCCTCCTGAGAATGATCTGTTGCCGCCCTGGTTGCTGTGTGCACGCCCGCCACTGCCGCTGTTGCGGCCTCGCCCCTGGTTACCGCACCCACGGCCAGATCCGCGACCATGGGAAGCTGCGTTGACAGAAGATTGCCTCACGTTCATGCCGTGAAGCAGGTTGAGGGGGGCGTCGAAGCTCATCAGCTGGTTGTAGAGTTCCTGGACCGTCACATGTTCAATCCAGGCTGCAAGTGCCGACACGATCGGGTTGTAGTCGAGGTCGAGGCCGGCTAGAACGTGGGAGACGATCTCTGCGTCGCCCAACGCTGCTCCGATAGAAGCTATCTCATCTGACAGCATCTTGATCTTGGCGAGATATTCCGCCATAGTCATGTTCCCCTTCTTGAGGTTGGTAAGTTCAATCCTGGTGTTGATGGCCTGAGCTTGGGTATGAGCAGCGAACGTGGCATGGATCGCTGCCCACACCTCCGCCGGGGTCTGAAGAGTAACCACCTGTGCAAGGATTTCGCGAGAAAGAGAACCCATCAAAAATCCCTGAACTTGTTGTTGCTGTGAATACCAGAGGACGCGCGCGAAGTTGGCGATCTGCTCCTCTTTTCCATCCTTGGTGATGGTGAGAGTTTCCGGCGGTGCTTGGCTCTCCGGATCGAGGTGGTGGCCCATCTGTGCGCCCTTGATTTGGGGCAGCACGATGGCTTTCCACATGAGGAAGTTGTTCCTCGTGAGCTTCTCCTGAGGTGGGAGTCCAATGGACATGGGATATGAGGAACTAGAGGAAGGGGCGAAGGTGGATGATGAGGCTACAGATGTGGAGAGGGCACTCATGGTGCTGGATTGGGTGGAGGCGCTGGTCACGGCGAAGGATTGAGGTAGGGCTTGGGCAAGATGCGATCAACTTTCGATCTTAGGAAGAAGTCGCTCTGATTACCATGTAAAATAGTTTGGGAAGCGTTAAACCTTTTTCTCGGGCCGCATTGTATATATATGGAAGACGCCATGGCTTACAAGCTGAAGATCAATCGTACAGAGATGATTGTAACGTGAGGGAGAGGAAACAGAAGAAGAGATAGAAAAGTATTACAAGTTAAAGACTAGTCCTATCCCTATGCAATTGTTCTAACATCCTGATCCCATAGTCATCCCTAGCAAAGCCTTGCCAAAACGTGCTGCAATCACTCGAATGTGTTGCTCACGGGGCGGTGAGTTGAAGAGATGCTTGAGCTCCTGAAATGTTGTGTCATCCACCTGGAAGTCTTCCAGCGCAAGCCCAAGAGTGCGAAGCAGAACGTTTTCGGCCGGCGTCGCTTTGGCTATACTATGTGCGGCCGTCTTCTTGGTGGCACGTGTGGTTCTCTTCGGGGTGAATGGCTCTGCCTCGGGCCTAAGGCCTGGACTTCTTTGAGAAGCGGAGGCGCAAGCTTTTTAACAATACTAGTAAGATGCCCGTGCTACGCTACGAGATAAAGAAAAAGGTGAACTTAAGTTATAGTTACGATCCCATATACTGCTGCTGACAATATAAAATATACCGACATTGATCAAAGTAATGATGTGTTATTGATTGGTACATATCAAGCACAATCAAACATATGGTTTTCAATCCACAAACTCATGCGTCCAAGCCAAACAGTTTCTTCTCCATCTCCGCCTCACTGAAAGATTTGTTGTACTCCATACTGAGTTTTATCATTGCTCGCTCTATCCTATATCAAGTTGATAGAGATCATGCGGCAGATAGAAAATCTGTTCACACATATGTGGCAATTATATAGGAGTCACCCTATGTTTGATCACATAAATCACAACTAATCGTCAGCTCATTGTATTTGGTCAATTATATAGGAATCACCCTAGAACTTGGGCATCAGACATATCATTATACTCATGAACAAACTAACGAACTAATTGGTATGATAAAAAAGAATCAAATCCGTATTAGTCTATATATCTATTGCAGGTGCAAACATAAAAGGCATATCATTACACTCACCAAGTTATTATAAATTATTAAGCTGTTTATTAGTCTCTATATCTAAAAAGAGCTGATAAAAAAGCAATATTGGGGATGACATCATATCAACTCTTGCAGACCCTAAGTTGATCAAATAAGAAAATCACATAAGCAGTATTGGGGATAAAATATATGTGCGCGCACCACCTTGCAGATGGATTCACAGCGGCGAAGCATGGAGGTCGAACACAACAGCATCGGCGTGGATGACGTGGGGCGCTATGCCAGTGTGATTGCGCTACCGCGGCAGCACGTATCCCTGGAAGGCGAGAACTGAGACGGGGCGGCCTCGTCATGGTAATATGTATGGTTTGGAGCTTATAATGCTCGTCAAAGTAAACACAGGATACTCCTCGTCTCCCGCAGACGCCGCTGATGTCCATGAGTGCGCAAGGGACACAACCAGTGGGAGACATATGTTGGTGTACACACCATTAAGCAATCAAATTTGCAAAAAGAAAAATCTTCCCAAACCATATAATTTGGAGATTGAATGAAGACCAAACCCAACAGCAGGGATATTTAAAGTAGACGTTCCCAGATAAAAATGCTTCATGTCAGGAATTTCTTCTCTTTATTTCATCCCCTAGAACAAAGCAGTATAAACAAATTAACAAAGTACTGAATTTCCCAAATGAACCACACCAGTAACTTGTTATTCTCTCTATCTCTCCTCCTAAATCGATTTAGATAAAGAAAGAATAACTGGATAATATTTAGATAGAAACATTCATTTCTTATCTAAGCCACAAATGCATAATGCAGAACCAATCTGTGTTAGAGGGTGGAGATGGAGAAAGCTCACCGAATGATATCACCAATCTATGTATGGGGCTTACACCTAATAAATCAAGATCAAAGTCTTCTCACCATTGTCGGCTAGATTCCGCATCTAAGTAGCGGATGCCACAGCATGGCCATCAGACGCATACCGCTGCAGCACCAATCCCTTGTCACCATGTTCACGAGTACCTAGCAGCATACATATATATCTACATATCATGAAGAGAATACCTAGTAGCAGCAATTGTAATCAGTAAGCAAGTAATAGTATGAACAAAACCAGTAGAAGCATCAATAAAATGGCAGCAGTAGGTTGCTACTTTCCTCCATGATCTCTTTATATATGCAATAGTTGTATATCAGAACAGAGCAGGAAAATTAACAACATTAGGGCACCTTTCATGCACTCGTCGGCCAGCCAGCACCCATCCCAGCCTTCTACCTGACCGACTTATTCCTCTGCCCCCATGAACTCCTACTCAGCGTCCCGCCCAGCTCAAGCTCCATCGCGTGCGCCGGGAGAGAGGAAAACGGAGGAGAAAGGGGAGCTCCTACATGCCATCGTAGCATTCAGGCGCACACGCACACACGTACAGCACGCGCTCCATCGATCCAATGGCGCTGCCTCGTGCACGCTGGCATGGGGGACGCAAATGAAGGAGAGTGCGCAGGTTATGAATTCGTCGGTGCTGAGCTTGGGGCAGCGTCAGTGCCATTGTGGGCAGCGGACCGGCGACCGTGACGGCGGGCCGACGACTGTGGCAGCAGGGATGGGCTCGATCCGGCCTGTCACATATG